CGGTGGTGTTTTTGGAAGATCTTGGATGACTGAAAATGGCACCTTTTCTTTTGTTGCTCTCTCTCTCTCTTTAATGTGTCCTCTGATATCTAAGCAGAAAATTTTTTTATAGCCAGAACATTCTTGATGTAGTTTCTGCAACTGTTGCTGTCCTGAAAAAGGGACTAATTTGTTGATAAATGTTGTAAATTGGTTTGTACATGATTTTGGAATTGCTAAACCAAAAGCTCTAAAACTCTACTAATGACACAGAATAAAGAAATCAATAAATGAATGAATTTTTGCTTTTGTCAACTATAGTATCTGAAGAACAATTGCAGATAGATACCTCATCAGGCTGGTTTTGTCTATAACGTATCATTTTGTGTAACCACTCTTGTGTTTGATGGACTGAAAAACTTTAATTGCCTGCGTGAACATAACTAGTATATTATATTATACATATCTTTATAACTCATTCACAATAGTTTTTAAAAAATCCTGTGTGTGCTCGTTATTTCCCTCTCTGTTTGATATTCCCTGAGATGGCATCCCTTAATCCAATAATTTGTGTGTTCATGAATCTATAATTAACTCTAACACAAATTTCAATATATAATCCAATCCCACAGTTGGAAGGCTACAAATTCGACCCAAACGGAGAATACGTCCGTAGATGGCTCCCCGAGCTAGCACGCCTCCCGACAGAATGGATTCACCACCCATGGGACGCCCCTTCTTCTGTCCTCCAAGCTGCAGGCATCGAGCTCGGCTCCAACTACCCTCTCCCGATTATCGGTATCGACCACGCCAAAACCCGACTCCAAGAAGCTCTCTCCCGTATGTACACTGCCAACGAGGGCCTCGGCGAATCTTCCGATTCTGCCCCTGACGACTCGCGCATGGAAACCGATGACGGGCCCGCCCGCCACCTGCCAGCACGCCGCTATGAAGACCAGATGGTCCCGAGCATGACATCATCGTCCCTTGTCGATGTGACTTCGATTGTTGTTGGGGATGAGGGCCGGGCCGAGGTTCCGTCGAACGTGAATGTAGGAACGGAGGAGGAAGTTGGGCCGGGCCCACATGTGGAGGTGGATAGGGATGGTGATGATGGTGATAGGTTTTATGGGCTACGGAGGGCCCGGAGAAGGAACTCTGAGGACTCGACGGCTGAGTCGTCGAGCGGGAGCAGGCGGGAGAGGGACGGAGGAGTGGTGCCCGTGTGGTCACCGCCAGGTGGAGGGGAGGAGGGTGGGATAGGGGCAGGATCGTCTTTTCTGCAGGTCAATTGGAGGCAGCTCCCGCAAACTGGGTAAGCTACCTGCTAACATCATTCACTTTGATCTTGTGCCTATCTTTTTAGATTATCTTGCATAATGTTCAATGTTATTAATTGAAAGCTATGTTAAATAAAAGTAAATGAATAAGTTTGTCTGAAAAATCCAAAAAATGAAATCAGTGAATCAGTTTTGCTATGGAGCCATCGGATGGCACGACTTATGGAGTCATCCATACTTACTACCAAATAGTGTATTGACACGTGTCTTACAATAAATACACTTTGGGCAGGTGTCGATACATTACGTGATGGATAATTCCATAAGAAAACCATCCGATGGCTCCATAGAATTTCTTATCAACCAATATTTGATGCACTCTTGATTGCTTTGCTAGAGAAGTCTCATTTGTCTTTGATTTTTCGAATTAATGGTGTTTTCATCATTTGCTTGAAATCATGATCATAATTGTCGTCTATGATGATATAGATTTCACGTCTTTCTTTTGTATCACGGTCGTTTGTAGAATTGTAGTGATTAATTTTTAATTGTCGGTCGAAAGCTAATCAACTTTGTTTTTTGATTTGTTCCCTTAGTCTTCTCTATCAATCATTTCGTTGTCACATTGAGAGAGTGATTTTATATTTTTTTGACAACATGTGAAATTTAAAATACAATGTATGTTTGCAAGCTCAATTTTTCTTGAGATATATTTTCTCTCCGTAGATGTAATGACATAAAATTTGAAAATAGTTCAAAGTATTAAAAATTATGTTACATGAAAAAATTAGTTGAAACATATTAATGCTCATTGGTTCAAAGCAATGATGCTTAAATTTGGAGCTTATATTGTCTCGTCGGCAAAAACAAAGATACACTTTGTTGATACAATTTCTGTCTGATCAAGCCTTTTAAGTTTTCTCAGTTTGAGCTTATTTTATTTTCATAATTATTTTAGTTTTTATTCGTACTAAAATTGAAGTAGATGGTAGATGAAACCAAATCATATTAGCATGGAAGAACATTTGTCTCATATATGTTATTTAAAGGTTATACTATGTGTGAACTTAAATGATATTATTTTGAGTCTTAAAGGTTATGTACTATGTGTGAACTTAAATGATTTAGTTGGAATCTTTTTGCTAAATGACTTAGATTTTAATAAATATTTCTTTACATAAGCGATAAAATATTTTCAAATAAAAGTTTACATTATGTATACTGAATCTGAATGATTATTTTTGGCTTAAATCATTCACAGAGATGTACCTGTTAACTAGTTTTTTTCTCATTAAAAAAATATTATTAGAACCCAAATTGTTTCTAGAGATTAGGTGATGAAGATCCTTTCTGAACTCATTTTCCTGCACTTGCTCACAGATGATAACTACTTTGGAAAAAACAGCACGTGCAAATTGGGTACAGAGATATGAGATTCTTTGGCCATAGCTGTTCTTGTGGTGGAAAACTATGCTTGTTCGCACTTTGATCCAACTCGATCGACAGTCAATTCGTGTGTGCAGATTTTCTAATTGGATCGGGTGGTTCGTATGTGTCTTATAGCTTGTTTTTTGTTGTTGTGAGGTCTTTGTAGTTGTTGTATAGTATTAAATCCTTTTCGGACAAATATTGACACAAGAAAAGTGCAGCCTTCCAATAAATGCAGGTTTGTGCCTTGTATGTTGTTGTATTTTGGGTTAGAGAGATGTAACAATGTAATAATAATGTTGTTCTACTGATGTCCTTACTGAATTAAAAACTTGTGTTTCCTTGACTAGTGTGGATTTATCATATTGGTCCCCGTAAGTCTTGCCAGAGAGTGGTAAGTTGATTTGAGATGGATCTTTATATATTTGATTGTTTATTATTTTTTTACCCAGTTACTAAAAATGTCTTACTTTTCAGCTTTAACTTCCCAGAAATTCTATGGTGCCCATATAATTGAATATCTTTGTAATGTACTAAAATCTGTAATTTCCATTATCTTGTTAAAATGTTGTTCAACAACCCCACGCCATCCTTCTGTTTTCAAATTATCAGGACTTTTGATTGTATTTATTGAATAACCAGGATTATTTTTGGAAAAGTTGTTTGACTTAAATTTCAGACTAGCTATTAGGTATTATTCCTGTTTTTTTTTTTTTTTTTTTTGTCTTNTCCTCCACTGGGAGTGTTATTCGTATTCTCTACTCGTGTTTGTATTTTCTCATGTTGAAAGTGTTTTTGTTGGTTTTAGACTACTACTGGTGTAGTATTTCCATCTAAATTCTTCGTATTCTCTACTCGTGTTTGTATTCTCATGTTGAAAGTGTTTATTGGTTTTAGACTACCACTGGTGTAGTATTTCCATCTAAATTCAGCTGGACAGGTGATTTATTCGACTGTTTAGCTATGGTTTAGTATGTAAATCGTGTTGTTATTTATAAAAGTCTATTGTTCTATAAAAAAAGGAAAAATGTCTGCTTAAATCTTCATGTAACATGCGTACAATAAAATCTGATCGAAAAAACATGTGAGTATGCAGCATGATTAAGGACCCATACACAGCCAATTGCAAATCACATGCCTAGTCGGGTAGTACCTGTAAGTTTGTAACAACAAACATATATGGTAGGTTTTATACATATTTTCAAATTTATGGTCTCATCTATACTTATATTAAAGGGGGTACTATTTACTAAATGTAGTATGTAGAATAGTCAACCCTAATTAATGATTTGCTATTTTTATCAATCATTTAATTAATGCATCTAATATTTTTGGTATGCAAATCAAATTAGCATTTAAGAGCATCTCCAATGCTATAAGTGTGAAAGACCATTATTTTTAACACATGTCAATTAGTAATTGTAATGTTAATCCACATTGGAATAATGTTAAAAGACTAGAAATTTCAATGGAACTAGTATCTCCAATGCATCAATTTGATAAGAAGTTATTTGTATAGGTGGACCAATTAAATAATTCATTGATACAAAAAAAATAAAAAATAAAAACAAATATAAAGTAAATTGATGAGTCATCATGTTTAACATGGTGTTAGATATTAGAAAGTGTGCTCAACATTGTCAACATTAAATGACATCCACCTCATCATGAAAGAGTTCATGACAAGATGCATTGGAGAAAAAAATAGAGACACACTTTCAAAAATTGGTGATATGGATGACTTTTTATAATGTCAAAAGTTGCATTGGAGATGCTCTAATTAGTTCCTAAAATATTGGGTATGCAATATTAATTTAGGAATATCTATGTAGTTCCTAAAATGTAGGTATGCAATAGTAAATGAAGATTTTTTATTTTTTTAAATATAAAATATTGCAACACTTACAACTATTCCAGTTATTTTTTTATTTTATTTTACATATAAAATTTAATCAATATTTAATGCATCCTACAAAATTGGATTTAGTTTAATTCTCCATACAATTGGTTGTAACTTTTTCAGTTGTACATTTTTTATTTATTTATTGTACACTTTTAAATTAATGAATCTCTCCGAAAATACCAAATCAAATGATTTATGAATTTTTTTTTTTTTACAATTTTAAATCTATATACCCAGCTTAAAAAACTCATCGCATGGACGAGTTTAAGAAAATTTCATAACCCAGCTTATAAAATTCCATCTCCACGAGTAAAAAAAATCACATCCCTCATCTATCGTAACAACTTTAAACGTAAATAAATAAAAGTCTAATTACTACTATAAATCCATTATCTATATAGATTTTTTAAAAATGTAAATTTCACCTGTCTCATTACTAATATTTTAGATACTTTTAAATATTATTTGTATAATTTTTTTTTACACATTTGCTCTCTCTCTCTCTATATATATATACATATATGAAGGTTAAATGAAGAATTTTTAGACATATTTTCCTTACGGGTAGTTTAGAAAAATTTAGGTAGCTTCAAACATTATTTGTGAATAATATAGAATATTTTAGATGCTTTTATAGATGTTATAAAATATTTTAAGTATTTTTAAATATTTTAAGTATTTTTAATATTTATATATCACACTTAAAAAGAATATTTTGCCAAAAAAAAAACATTAAATACACATTGTAAATGTTAATAGAAACAGTCTTCAATATTCATCTTTGATTTTGTCAAAACAAATCTTATAAAATCTGTGAAGTCAAAATTTGTACGTAAAGTCTATCTATACTAAAAAAAGGTAGATTCAAAATTCTTTATCTAATTTCTTTTTTTCCTTATCTAATTCATTCTTATTATCTAATTGTATAGAAATCTGTTCTGATTTTGTGTAATCCTCTAATTGTATTTGTATCATATCCGATAAAATCGGTTTAACAAAAAAAATCCCATAACATCCGATAAGTAAAAAAAAGTACGTAAAATCTTTATTAAAATAAAAAGGTTTTATTTATTATCTAATTTATTATCTAATTGTATGAAAATTTGTTCTGATTTTATATTACGTACTACAAATTGTGCACCCGTGTTCAGGAGCTACTTAACCGGCAAGTTATGTGGAAATAACTCATTTAGTGCTTCTGTCTCGTGCATACGGTATGTATTTGTATTACACATACTAGAAAATTGTGCACCCCGTGCACCGCACGGACTCTGTACTAATAAATGACCTTAAAATTGTGCACCCCGTGCATCACCCGTGTTCACATTTTGGCCTATTACAGGTCACGTACTATATATACCCTGTACATTTTTCTTTATTAATAAATATAATTATAAAACTTGATAAATAGCCTTAATTTTGTGCAACCGGTGCATCGCACGGGATCTGTACTAATTTTTATTGAAAGCTTTTTAGTTTCAAATTTTATAAAGAAACTGGGAAATATACGGATAAAGGACGAGTATTACTAGCCACAAAAAACGACCAGCTAGTTACATCAACCTTATCAAAACGTTACACATTATAAAGGAAATGAGTAGCCAAAAAGCGAACAAAATAACTAAATTTTAGGCACAGTATTTTTTTTTCAAATATCGTTTGGAGGCATAAAAAACGCTCAAATTGAGACAATCACGAGTGATTTTGTGCAGTAAACCGTATATATATAGATGGATTAAAAAAGGAACATCCCTTAAGAGGAGAGACAATTATTAATCAATCTCTCCCTAAAATTTTAAAAGTAAAATAGAAAAAAAAAATAATGTTGAATAATCTGAAACAAAACTGAGAAACTAGTACCCCTCATTTAATAAGTTGAAAAATGCTACAACTACCTTATGCTAGTCGCTAGATAGGGCCAATATTTGACTTTTTCTTTCACACGCACCCATACGTTGTGTGTGTGTGTTTTCTCAGTAAAAGAAATGGCGAGGTCCAATAATTGCTTCTTCAGCCTCACGGCATGGAGAAGCCGGTGGCTGAGATCCGCCTTCCGCCGGTGGGGCCTCCGCCCCTCCTCCACCGACCTCGGCGACGGCACCGTCATCCACTGCTGGGTCCCCAAGGCCCGTGACCCGGCCCGGCCCGACCTTCTCCTGCTCCACGGCTTCGGGGCCAACGCCCTGTGGCAGTTCTGCGACGCCGTGCCCGCCCTCGCTCCCCGCTTCAACGTCTACGTGCCGGACCTCCTCTTCTTCGGGGAGTCCCGCACGGCCCGGCCCGATCGGAGCGAGGGCTTTCAGGCCCGGTGCGTGCGGCGGGCCCTGGAGGCCCACGGCGTGGCGGCGGTGGCGGCCGCGGTGGGGCTGAGCTACGGCGGGTTCGTGGCCTACAGCTTGGCGGCGGAGGGGTGGGTGGGGCGACTGGTGCTGTGCTGCGCGGGGGTTTCCCTCGAAGAAACGGATCTGAAGGGGGGGCTTTTTCCGGTGGCTGACGTGGAGGAGGCGGCCGCCGTGCTGGTGCCGCGGACGGCGGAGAGGCTGAGGGAACTGATGGGATACACCTTCGTCAAGCCGCCCACGGGACTGCCCTCTTGTCTGCTCCACGATTTCATTCATGTAATTTCTTACTATTTACTTATTCCTTTGTTTATTTATAAGAATTATCAATTGACCGGGATTGATTAACTAAACTTCGAAATAGTGGTGTGATTGGGCAGGATAACACCGGATAACTAAAGCCTTTTTTGTTTTGGGCAGGAAATGTGTGAGCAATATGTTGAGGAGAAGAAAGAACTGCTTCGTGCAATAGCAAAGGACCGAAAGCTTTCTGACCTTCCCAAGATCTCTCAGGTATATATATATATATATTATCTTCTGCTCAATGCATTTTTGTTGTATTGTACCAAATAATTTCCATACGACACTTTTGCTAGTTAGGATCAATNAACTTCCCCTGCATTCGGATTCTGATTCAAATTTCAGCCATCTCAATACACCAAAATAAGATATTACTGTAAGAAATTTAACGGGCATACTCATAACTATCAGGCGGAATTGAATAAACCCTAAGCATTCAGTTCATAGAATATGGATCTTTGCATTAATTAAATTGCACGTAGAACTTACAAGAATCCAGCTTATAGTCCTTCCTTGTTTTCTTGATCTATGATGTTGATCTGCGATCTCTTCATCCTCGTAATCTCATGGATCTATCTTTCTCATAATCTCCATCTCGTAGTCTCATGGATCTATCTTTCTCATAATCTCCAATGATGATCATCCTCGTAATCTCATGGATCTATCTTTCTCATAATCTCCAATGATGATCATCCTCGTAATCTCATGGATCTATCTTTCTCATAATCTCCATCTCGTAGTCTCATGGATCTATCTTTCTCATAATCTCCAATGATGAATTCGCCTTTGCCTATGAATTGTTTCTCTCTCCCTCTCTCTCCCGCGTCTCTCGTCTTTTCATAAAGTCCTTGATGTTGAGAACTTTATTTGCGTATGAGATGGGAGAGAGGGGCATGTAGTATATATAGGAGGAATCCTACAAACCTATTCCTACTAACATTCCCCATGTTCTAACCCTAACTTAATGTCCAAGTCAAACATCACAAATTGGACTCTTTAATATTAGAACATTAATAATCCGTTAAATATATATTCACCTTAAATAAGTTTGACTATTAATTCAATTAGGTTCAATTAATTATATGGTCCACAATAATAGAATAATATATAAAATATTATTACAATTACTTCTACTAATTAAAATGATACTCACTCTTAATTTCCCCAAATAAATCCCATGTTTGGCAAATTATATCGATAGCTCTATGTGAATTTATAATGATTTTTATTTTTATTTTTTTTGTTTATTGCAGCCAACCTTACTTGTCTGGGGAGATAAAGACCGCATATTTCCCATTGAACTTGCTCATAGATTGAAAAGGTTTGAATTTTTGGTGATTTTTAATCCAGGCCTGTCAGTTTAGTTTTCGTACACAATTTATTCAAAATAAAGAAATGAAAATGAACAGGGTGATTTTAGTTTTGATTATTATTTTATTATGCAGGCACTTGGGAGAGAATGCTGAACTAGCGGTGATTAAAAACACAGGACATGGTTTCGTTCACGAGAAACCTAAGGAGTTTAACAGGCACTTGAGAAATTTCCTCTTGAAAAATCTCACGTCTCCTAATATCTCTAACAACTTATACATTCCTACTAATCACGAAAATGGAAGTTCATGAGCATTAATTGTTGTTTTGCTGGAATTTCAAACTGAAATGACAAATTATTCATGGCTATTGAGTATATTAATCCCAAATTAAATGATAATTGATTAATGTAAGATGCTGTACAAGTTGATGAAGAACACTTTGTCTTAGGCAAGTTTGTAATAATTGGTATTAGGAGTTGTTGAAGTAGTTCCTGCTCTGTAATGTTTGTCTTTAGAATTGTGATCCATCAAAGTGTCATTNGGACAAAAATAAAAAGGGCGTATTCTGAGAATATGTTTTACATTAATCACGTAATTAAGTTAATTAAATTAATTTAAAATGTATCCAGAATACGTTTTATAAATAAAATTAATTTTGTAATTCATTTATTGCGAAAATACGTTTTATAAATAAAATTAATTTTATAATTTATTATTGCACAAATTAATTTAAAAAAAAAAAACGTATTTTCGAAATACGTTTTATGTTTGCCCTAATTTTGACCTAAAATAAATTTTTTCCTTAAACGTATTTTCGAAATACGTTTTATGTTTTCCCTAATTTTGCCCTTAAATCAATGTTCCCCTAAAATCAATTTTTCCCTAAAACGTATTTTCGAAATACGTTTTCTGTGTGCCTTGATTTTGACCTAAAACCAATTTTGCCCTAAATTCAATTTGCCTTAAAACGTATTTCAAAAATACGTTTTATGTTTGCTCCAAAAAAAAAACGTATTTTGGGAATATGTTTTAAAGTGTAAAACGTATTCTCAGAATACATTTTACTGTGAAATCTCAATAAAACATATTCATATAATACGTTGTAAAAAAAATTAGTAAATAAAACGTATTTTGGTTCTACGTTTTACAAATAATTAAGAACAAAACAAATAATTAAAAACTAAAACGTATTATCAAAATACATTTTAGTTCTTAATTATTTGTAAACATATAACCAAAATACGTTTTACAAATAATTAAGAACTAAAACGTATTTTGATAATATGTTTTAAATTTTAAAATTAATGATTTAAAAAATTAATATATAGTATGTGTTTTGTGTTTTGGGTTCGTTTGAGCTCGTCTGAACTCAGAATTGAGTTCCGTTTTTTCCTATACGTAGCTAACGAGCCCCTCTATTCAATGATGCATGAATGACCAAATTATTCTTGAAATCATATTCTCCCAAAGCTCTTGACCTACATATTAAACGTGTTTCGTGCGACGTTGCTTTTTGGGTCCGTTCAGACTCGTCCAAGCACGAAATTGATTTCCGCTTCTTCCTATATGTCGCCAATGAATCCTTCTACACAACCATGATTTTACGGTCAATTTTCGAGCTACTTCTATTCCTCACGGGCTAAATAATTAATAAATCACCCATTCTTTCATTTTTTTCGGCAAGTAATTGCCGTTTTCATGGGCCCCGCAGGGTCGCTTTACCGAAAAAGAAGCCGGGACGCGTAGACCGTTCCCGAACAATGTCATTCGAGCCATTTATCGAGTATTTCTGAGTCTGCCGGGAAGAAAACGGACAACAGATATTTTTTTTTCTATTCCGTCATTACCGGCGAGCTTCATTTCATGCGGCGACCTCGGGTACCCGGTTGGCCCTCGTTAAGCGGGCCAATTTGTGAGTTCGGACCATTGATGAAGAAGATTGAAGGATATCGAGTCTATTTATAGAAGAGTGGCGAGTATGAGATGAGATTTCAATATGTGTGTCAGAAAGCGAAATACTCATGAGATAAGTTTTTAGTCATAAATAGAGAAAGAGTTAGCATCAAAGTTGTAGAATCTTTGACAACCTTTGTTGAAGTGATATAAAAAGGGAGGATACTTCTCACCTCTATATCAAAATATTTGGCAGCCATTAAAAGGTTATAAAAAAAAATAATGCTAGTTCCTCCATACAGTAAGTTGATCTTTTGTTTTCCCAACTCTCTCACCAGTTGACTTACAACATGAATATTATGAGGGAAATTGACAAGTTTAGGACCACCAAAAACACATATGGTTTTTATAGGTTGAAGAACCTTAGTAGCTTGAGAAGATTCAAAAACCTCTATTTGGAGTGGGGAGATACTTGATCATAAGGAATGATCGACTTATTTAAAGAGAAAGTTTAGGAAGAGATAAATATTATATTGTTGCACTCGGATGCTCGAACTCGGCATATTAACTCGTGCTTTCTCGAAAGCACTCTCGCTAATGCTCAGCCCGCTTAACGAGGGCCGACGGAGTACCTGAAGTTGCCGCATGAAATGAAGCTCGCCGGTAATGACGGAACAGAAAAAAAAATATCTGCTGTCCGTTTTCTTCCCGGCAAACTCCGAAATACTCGATAAATGGCTCAAATGACATTGTGCGCGAACAGTCTACGCATCCCGAATTCTTTTTCGGTAAAGCGATATATAACGCGACCCTGCGGCGCCCACGAAAACAGCAATTACTTGCCAAAAAAAATGAAAGAATGGGTGATTTGTTAATTATTTAGCCCGTGAGGAATAGAAGTATCCTAAAAATTGGCCGGAAAATCATGATTGTGTAGAAGGGTTCATTGGCGACATAGAGGAAGAAGCAGAAATCAATTTCGAGCTTGGACGAGTCAGAACGGGCCTAAAAAGCAAAGTCGTGCGAAACACGTTTAATGTATAGGTCAAGAGCTTTGGGAGAATATGATTTCAAGAATAATTTGGTCATGCGAGCATCACTGAATAGAGGGGTTCATTAGTTACGTATAGGAAAAAAAAAATGGAACTCAATTCCGAGTTCAGACGAGCCCAAACGAGCCCGAAACACAAAATACATACTACATATTAATTTTTTTTCATTGATTTTAAAATATAAGACGTATTATCAAAATACGTTTTATTAAAATAACATCATACAAATATAAGATGTATTATCAAAATACGTTTTTTAAAATATTTTAATTAAAAAAATGTATTATGAGAATACGTGCTTTTTATATTTGTCTACAATTTTTTTTTCTTTTTATTCTTGTCCAGTTAATTTTTTTGTTTTATATATATATAAACTACCCGATAAGAGCAACTTTAACAACCACTCTCCTTAAATTTCCTTTTACACTTTCCAACATGCCACATCATCCAAAATCTCTACACATATAAACCTCCAATAACCATAAACTTCATAAACCTCTTTTTTTATGGTCCCACATGTTTCCTACTTACATTTAATTAATATTACACCCTTATATTTTTATTAATATTTTAAAACTATAACTCTATTTTATTTCTCTTCAATTTAAATGTTTCATATATTTATCATATAAATACATATAAAAATAATATAATTATATTACATTATTTATAATTATAGAGTGTTAAGTACGCACCAATATAAAGTTTTACTTAGGAATTACGATACACAGAACTTACATAATGTTAAAAATTAAATTTGAGTAATTTTGTTTCTAAATATTATATTTATATCATACTTTGTTAAATAAAAATTAATCATCTTAGAAGATTAAGTGTTTTTGAATTTTTAATAATAAAAAATTATAACTTTAATTTTTAGTCATTAACTTATTAAATAAGTGTACAAATTGATAAATAACAAAAAAAAAAAAGAAATAATAAAATTAAATAAAACCACATTCAGAAAAATCAAATAATTGACATGGCCCTTCCAACTAGTGAGCCCAAGCGCTCTCACGCCAATATGGTATTGTTCCATTCAAGCGCTTGAATAAAGAGATGTTCCCATACTTCGTGAACCCCAGTTGCTTTCTTTAGCAATTTTTTTGTTTTAAGAAAATAATTTTAAACAAGGTTTGCCAAAGATTTACAAAGAGAACACCGGTTTATGTTTGTAAACCTTAAAACTGTCTTCTTTAGTGGAAACGCAAAGATTTGTAAATTCAAACCTCACTAGCTCACTCAAAACCAAGATGCTCTAAAGTGCAGAAAAGGGAAAAACATGCTTTATTGATAAATTAATTCCGAAACTAGATTTGAGGTTTGACCAGGGTTGCCATAAAAGGTATTTAAAAATAAAAAAGAAAAGGAAAGAGTCGCACAACTTCTAAAAGAAAAGAAAAAATGAAACAAAAACAAGAAAAAGAAAAGGTAGCTGCTCCAAGCCTCACAGCTGTTGATGCAATATTCTCATTAATAAATCTTATTAAGTGGGGAATGAGAACAAGTGATCGTGATGTGCATTCAACCAATACTGCTTTTCTGGAATCTTTAAGGCAACTCGTGACTATTGAAAAGGACTTGCAAATAATTTTGAGGAGATGAGAAATTCCGGAATCTATCATCGGTGTAGCTATATATATGTTCTCATTCTGTTCAAAAGAAGATTTTGTGTGTGCATGTAATGCCTTGGTATGCCTTTTAGGCTTAACAGCGGTCATTATACCAACATTATCAGTTGTAAGATACTTTTCAAGCGGAAAAATATAATGTATATGATTTCTATTAATAAAGCTTTTTTATGTTTTTCACTTTGCTTTATGTTTTGTCTTGGTTTGTACATTAAAAGTTTGCCTTTATTTACATACGTATTTCCAATGTTTTTTAATGCAAATCATGTTTAGTCAAAAGTGTCTGTCCTATTATTTCACACTGTAGATAATATAGTTTGGTGTGTCGAAAAGAAGATCATATTGTAGATTACTTTTATAAAATAATGTATAGTTCAATACCTAGATATAAGTGAACAAACTATCGTGAAAGATTGTAGTTTAGTTTTGAATTAGTTTTACTATACCTAAATTTTTAAGAACCATGGGTCGACCCAACAAAATCAAACTAAATGACCGTTGAGCATGCAAGCCCAAACAATAGTGGCGCAAGGACCAGCGACCACAAGATCTGCTGATATCTCCAATTGGCAAACGACCACTGATGCCGATTGTAGACATCGAAATTTTAATATTTTATTAATTAATGTCTTTATTTATTTTTGGACATAGTTCCATAATAAATAAGATATATAATTAATAATGTTATTATTTCTTGCCCACCAAGTCAAATCTTAGGATAAGAAAGAATCTTAGGATAAAGAAAGAGATTATATCAAATCAAGAAGGACCAATCAAATTGAAGTCTTCTTCTCCAAGACTCTCTCTCCTACACCTATAAATAGGGCTCTCTCTAATGCCACAAAAGACACCTCAAAAAATCCAACACCTCATAAATCAAAGTCTCAATTCAAAGAGCTCTCAATAATTCTATTGAAGATCCAAATGTGTTCTTGTAGATCCACGACATTCAAGTTAAAGATCCAAAAAGAGAAGAATCA